GAAATTGCTTGTGTAATTAAGTATGCATTAACACAGTTGAGGGCTAATTGTATATGTATATATGAATGCATACAACCGTATTCAGTAATCATATGCGCTCGTTGTAAACCTTTACCTCATGAATCGAATTGTCTGCTTGGGTGCAGGAATTTGGTGCCTTTAGATTGGAAGAACGTAAACATCTTATAGTCAAATGTGAGAATCCAAGACAACCAACTGTCTCTGCTTTTCGATGAACAAGATACAAGACTATTCAACAGTAAAATGTGCTCGGAAGATCTGGCGCAAATATAGTAAACTACGCCATGGTCAGGTAGTGTATAGAAGATTGTAATACTTCCATGACTTCCAACCATCGGATTACTGAGAGGCTTCAGAATAATCAGGACAAGAATATTTTTCTTTTGCTTTCATCTTACGTTCCTTTTAGATTGTTCATCATTATGAGAAATCCTAACATCCATTGAAGCTGTTGTTAACGATGGTGCGAATGGATTTTTGAGCACTGTTCAGTTTTCTTAAAAAACTGAGTCAGGTAGTTAATCAACTAAACTAAAAGCGGCGTAAAGGAAGCTATTGCGAGATATATCTAAAGAAAAGCTAACCAATACTGACAAAACACAAACCATGCAATTACGATGAGTAATTCACTTGCGCTAACTTAGTGTGCATTTCGTAGTACTAGCTTTTGACTGTCTATTCTTATCAAAATTCGAATTCGAAAGCAGCCTTACTACAATCAAAATTTGTTGAGTAATTTTGGATTCTATCAAATGACGAAAAATTGTGATAGTGACCAGTATTGAACTAATGCAAAAAATCCGCTAAATGACTATGTCAATATAGGAGAATAATGGATGAAAAAATAAAATACAACAATTTTGCTTTTGTGACACATCATTGTAAATGAGTGTTGACGTACGGTAAGGAGAAAATGAACTCCCGCCCACTTCCACTGATCTTGGTAAACATCTCGATATTGGCTTAAATTCATCTCAGACTTTGTCTGACGTCTCTAAATGCTTCTCTTGTGCCTTATCGTAACTTCGCTAACATGACTTTTGTTATGCTCTAAAGCCATGTGGCTGTTTTCAAATACATCCATTCTTTCTTTTCCTTCTCATCTAGGCTTTCACCCATTGACACGAGTTTTCATTTATGTTCATGATTGTCTTCGTTCTCGTTCTTTTTCTTAGGCTCACATAAGAGAACCGCACAAACAAAAGAAGCTCGTTTGCAATGCATCCTTTCAACGGCTGTCCCCAAATCGCGGAACAACTACTATAGTCTGGTTCGACATACATCTCGAAGAAAAAAGTAGTATTAATCCGAAGTCACGTCTAAATAATCTGTGCACGTTCGACAATTATGTCGTGTATTATACCAAGGCAGTATCATGTATTGACTATATCGTGCAGACTGAAACAAAAAACACACGCTATGACGAAAATGCTATCGTCCTGGTTGTTATCTTAATAATAGCTTTGATGAAGCAGTATCAGTAGTCTCAAAAGCTGAGCAATATTCACATGTAAGAAATGTGTTAGTTCTGCTCTCAAATCCATCTAAAATAGATGTTGTATGGCCACAACACTACAGTAGAATTGCTGGAGTCTTCAAATCTATGAATGAAATGTTAAACAAGTTGATAGATTTACTCGCGAAGCGAGAGTATAAGGAAGATATGTTGAACTCATTTGTTGTCTTTGATCGTGAAGAAAGAGCACTGCGTGACCTCACGAACGAAATAGGCCCATTTCTCTGGTGCTCCGTCGTAAAAGGTAAGTACTTAGAGAATATCATGTTAATAAAGAGCTTCTAAACCATCATAGATACTGATAGACAACATATGAGATGCTTTGTAATGCAAAGGTTGAATGTAAAATTAAAAAAACGAATGTTTGATGAACATTTAGAAACCGAATTGAACGAAGGTGACTGTGAAGCTCAGAAGAGAAGACGCACACCCACTTATTCTAGCTTTACAATTGACCTCAATAGAGAATTGTAGACTTTTTCGAGTTAGAAAAAAATAATATTATAATTGCTCCAACCAATTTTCACCATTAATGACTGAAACTTCCCGGATGGACTAAGCAAAAACACATATATCTGTGATGTAAAGCTGATTATATACAATGGTTGTGTTGAAAATCAATTCGAAAAGAGTGCCCCCATAGGAGGCGAATTCGACCCATATCTTCTTTCTCAACACTCTACATCCAGTTCGATACAGATTTGTACACTGAATCATGTAAGCTTATTATCTGGCAATATATTAACTTTGGCGCATAACCGTAAAATGCCACCAATATCTGTAAGTGAAAATGAAGGCAAAGAGATGACTTTTATCCTTCCTCACACTAAAATTAGTGTAATAACAAAACCCGTTAGATAGTTTGCATGTTCATCTTGCCCAACCCAAAACTCGGCACTCTTGTCATAATGCTGAGTTTCAGCTAATTCTGATGTTTCAAATATTTTTAGAAATACAGATTTGTTATGGAAAGAAAGCTACTGAAGCTCTATATTTTACTAATTTTATTCTCGTAAAATCCCTTTTTTTGTCTAATTTTAGCTATTATAACGGCTCTGCCACGTTCGGACGAAGCCAAGCGACAGATGATACAGGAATGCAAAAAATACTATTGGGATAAGCCTAGACAACTTGCTGAAGTCGTTGAATTTCAAAGAGTTTATACTCGAGAACAAGCTATTCGCTGGTACACGAGGCCCTGTTTTATTCATCGACTTATCAATAAGGCTCTTCGTACCGAAGACATTGTGGCCTTATGGAATTTTCGATACTTTATTAGTGATCTTTCTACAAGTTTGGCACAAGTGAGAATGAAAATTGTCGAGCCATTGATTCTGTATCGTGGTACCATAATGACCCGTTCAGAAACACAACTTTTGTCTACCGGTAGTCTCGTTTCTGCCAATGGATTCTTTTCAACATCACGTTGCCGTAGAGTCGCCGAAACATTCATCGCAACAGGTCAATGTCGTAATGATCCACACCAATTTGTACTGTTTGAAATCGAAATTCAACCGAACTCGTCCGATGTAGTGTTTGCTGATGTAGCAGCTGAAAGTCATGTACCCGATGAAGCTGAAGTGCTCTTTGATTTAGGTACGATATTGGAGATCGTTCATCTTGAGCAGGATGCTGACACTTCTGTTTGGCATATTGTACTACATCCATCGCACAAAACCCAAGATATAAAGCAAGACTATGAACGTTTCATTCTGGGTCAGATGGAATACACTAGTCCGTCGATACTTTTTGGTATCCTGTTTGCCGATATGACCGAGTATAAGAAGAGCTTGGCATACTTTCAAAGCCTACTTCGTACGCTACCACCCGGACACAAGGATCTGCCAAATGTATATTATGGCCTTGCCAGAACATATCGATTCATTGGCCGTCATCAGATCGCTCTAGCGTTGATGAGGCGAGCCGCGCGACTTCAACGTCAAATGCAACCATTGGCGAATTTCAATTATGCTCGAACATTAGCAAGTTTGGCAACTGTGCACGCAGCCATGGGGGACTTTGCTCACGAACTACTTTACTATAAAAAAGCTTACGCTTTGTATCAAAACATTCTACCAACACAGCAACACATAGAAATCGCTCGAAGCTTAAGTCGTTTAGGTATTGCGTATATCCATCAAAAGCAGTACGCCCGTGCAGCTTCTGTTCTTAAACGTTCACTGAAAATTTATCACCAAACGACACCTGCAAGCCATGAATATAAGGCTCAAGCGCTAGAACTCTTAGGTCAAGCGTATGATGGTCTTGGCGATGCTGATCGTTCTTTCAAACTGGTTCAAGAAGCGCTTTCCATGCGTATCAACAGACTATCCAAAAATAGAGGAGACTTACTTATTACTTATTGACAAATACAAGGAAAACGACAAATACCAATTGGCCCTTGAGTTTGCTAGAAAACTATTGCAATTTCGTGAGAGAAAATCGCCTAGTAATCCCACGTCAATTCAAGAGGTACGGATTTTGGTTGAGACGCTGCATGCTTTTGTCAATCAAATGTAAAAGACATTGCAGTGACTTTTTAAGATTAATATTCAATTGTTGAATATTTTGCTTTTCAGTATTTCCAAACAAACCGTGCAATAATGCAGTGATGGCCATTTTATAATTCTGTTGAATAGGCTGTGGGTGAGAATGGGAGTGCAGCGATTGACACCCACGTGATGATTACACCTCACATCCTGAGTAATAGAATAGATTTATCTTACTTGCCAAAGAAACATATCTTAAACAAATTTTGTACGAGGTTCGAATAGAGATATTGCTGGCAAAGAAGGTCGTGCTCGAGATGATTCTATCGAAACTGGTTTATATAATGAAAATTTAGATAAATGTATACTCTAAAATCACGTTCTTTAGGTGATAGTCAGCTGGTGATCAGTTAATTCATCCAGATCCATTACAAGGTTTTGCAAAAGCTCAAACAAGTGTAACTAATAGAAGTACTGTTGACTATTCGAGTAACGAAATATCAGAAGCTGTTTCTAATCGAAGTCAAGTCATTCCAGATAACCAAAGTAGTTCTGAACCCACTAATAATCGTGAATAATAAAGATATTCAATACATTTGCTTATAATGTTATTTTTAGTAATTTAGCCAAAATAACAAAAAACAAAGATATTCTGGTATTAAAACAAGACATGTTCTATATTTTCGTACTGTCTTGTGTTAATTATCTTCAATTATTAATAAATTTTATAAAGAAAACGAACTTTTTTCTAACAAACAATCGTATTTATCTAGGTATGGTTCAATCAAAGATTATTCAGAAACTATATATCAGTTTATTCATACGAATAGTGTGGACTTTTTTGGATATAATGTTCCCTATTGATATTGATTATAGTATTCAATAAAAGAGATAATGACAAAGGTTAGAATCAGAATGTAGTTGAATTTTCACCTTGAACAATCAATTAAGGTCGTGCGATTCGATCTAGCTTTTTAAAGCAGGCGAACCCAAATAAAAATCATCTTCATCCATTGCGTTGTATTCATTGAATGTACTATGTTATCTATTGAAAAATTAACTGTAATTTTTCCAAATCCAACTAACAATACATTTGTTTGAAGGTTTCCGAATAATTTAAAATACTTAGAAAGAGTTTTTTCTCGCGTTACTTTGACGTTCCTCAAATGTTGTTAATGTTCCTTTTAATAGTTTCCGACATTCACCTCGTATTACTCCTGTTAAAATTGTTGAGAAAACTATGAATGGATAAATGACAATTGATGATAATTGATCACGTTTAGTAATAATCATTATTACATATGAGAGAAACAATGCTACAGTATAACTAATTAATACTTGAATATAATAAATTCGAGAATGAATATTATTTCCAATATCAAATAAACGACAAAAATTAATTAATAATGATGGAAAAATAATATCATCAATTGATAAATAAATTCGACCAGCATGAAAATCACAACTAGACAAAGAAAAATTCTATAATCAATTCGGTAAAAATATTTATTTTACTCATCATTATTTCTAATCAATCGAGAAAAATTAAATACAAATGGTATATTTTCTTTTATAATCCATTTCATAGCATTTATTTTTAATATATTCATACTTCCACCACTTAATAAATAATCTAAGCCACTATTTTCAAACTAAATTAGTATAAAAAAAAACAAATTCTTAAAAAAAACTTTCAATTTAGCCTTTTTCCTCTATGTAGAAAACAAAATTTACAAAGATTCGTCTGCAATCTCAGAAAATGAAGCACTTTAAAAATAAAAATCATGGTTGAATTATGTCTTTCTAAAGATAGAATAAAGAGTTAAATTTTTGTGTCAGTTAGAGATGATAGCTTTGAAGAGTGCTTTTGAAGTTTGCTCGAATAAAAACTCAGTATATAGGCGTTTGATTAAAAAAAAAAGCTTAGGAAAGAACATTTTCAAGTTATCTACTTCATTTGCCTTCCTATGTAGTAGATCACTAAAGTAATGTAGCCTCTAAAGGATTCCTGATTTTGCTTAAATTTGATCAAGATAACTAGTTTTTAGTAGATTTCACTTCCTGGAGTATATTTTTCAAATAGAGCCGTATTTGAAAATTTCGATCTATAACTTTGTACACATGAAGATCTTCATTAAACTATCTCATGAATAAAGTTTCATCAGTTCGGAATATCGAATTAACTAAGATATAGGCTTTTCAATGTATCTATGTTTTTCTTTAAATGCTGTGTAACTGATGAAATTTACATAATATAGTCTAATCGCAATCTTCATGTGTACGAAGTTTTAAATCAAAATTTCCAAGTATGACTCTTTTCGAAAAATGGACTTCAGCAAAAGAAACTCGCTAAAAATTTTCTATCTCGACTAAATCTAAGTATAAACAAGAATCTTTTGGAAGTTACACTAGTCTAATAATTTCTTACATAAGAAAGCAAACGAAGTAGATCACTTGGAAGTGCTTTCTCGTTCATTGGTAAATTTGAATCGCATAGTCAAGATATACGAGAAAGTTTTTGCTAAGGAGCTTCTCAGGTACACTATTTACCATATTTACATATAAATGTTGAATAAATTCTACATCAATCCAATTTCGATTATCTCCATTGAGTTTCCAAATAATCATTGGAAATTCTGGATTAATAATCATTGCATTTCGCTTATATGGTTTTATAAACTCTAAAATCAAAAAATTCTTTCATTCAAATATATATATATATTCATACAAAATACCATTGCCTATTATAAATAATGATGAAATTTCAAATATAAATATAAAAGCAAAAATAATCACACATATTATTAGATTAACAATCCTCATTTGTACAATAATTACAATTGTTATAAAAAACACAATAAAATTCGTCATAATAAATCCCATATATGTAAATCTATTTAAAAACCATAATACAATCATAATAAATGAAATAAACAAAAGAATTAATCTAAACAATTGATAAATATAATTTAATTTAAAATTCTTATTCATAAATTTTTGATAAAACTTATTAATTAACAAATAACAGAATTTCTCAAAACATAAATAAATAATAAATGAAGAAAATATCATAAAACTAAATAAATATACGTATCCTATTATAAATGTACAATATTGATCAATAATATATAATAATAGAAAGGAAATTAATAATGATAAACCAACAATTAATCCATATTTAAATTTATTCGTTTTTGATTTATAATTATCATAATGATTAAGGATTTTTTTCATATAAACTCTACGATGCCATTCATTACCAACTAACATACAGATAATGATAATACTAATAAAAATAAAAATACATGGATCAAATTGAATATTATCTCGATTAATACGATATAATAAGAAATTTGTTTGATTCGCAAGAATATTATTTAAGTGTTTAACTTCGTTTGCATCTATAAAACCAATATTAGTTTGATTTAAACTATAATCATTTAGATTTCTATATAATGGAAATTCAAATGACCATGAATATTTTGAATGATTCAACATTGAAATAGAAGATTTTATTTGATTATCAATATATGATAATAATGTATGTTCAAATTTTTTATTATCATGATTGACTTTTGACAAAAAAAAAGAAACAGAATTAAAAATGAAAAATTCAAGATTTATTTACTTGAAAAAATAATAGCAAAATAATTTTGCGTCCAATCAAGATTTTTTAAAGTGGCTAATTGTTGAATCAAAGAACAATCATATGATAATTGAATGATTAATATGTCTTTAGTATTATTTAATTGATAATGAGAGGTTTTCTGAATTGTATAATTAAAATGACAGAGAGATAAGTCAAGAGCAATATTAAAATTCACTTTTAATGCATTTACTTTTGATGGTATCATTGACCCATATAAATAAACACAAATTGTATCTGATTTATTGTTAAATTCAATTTGACTTATGGAATTTCTCACTGGTGAAGTACAGATCATCAGCCATAGAATGAGAAAGAAATTCATTATTGATTGATTATAGAAAAACTTTTTAAATGAATCATCAATCTCACTTAATGAACCTTTTATCTTCAGAGTTTAGTTAAATAGATATCATGCTTACATATTGTTTATTCTAACGAGAAGAGTCTTCCAACTGATTAATCGCTTTTGATTCGAAACTATATGTATTATGTAGACTTAAATGAACTTTGAATATCTTGAAAAGAATTCGAACTTTTAGCTCATCAATACGTAGATAGATACTACTTTTTTTAATGGTAGTTTCTAAATGCATGCTGTAGTCTGCGTTAAGAATACGAGAATAGTTTATTGTAAAAGTTCCAGGTCTTTTGATTTGCTTCTATGCTGAAAAAAGAACATAAAATCTGTCAATTTATATATGAGCGATGTGAAAGATACGTTTTTACCATACCTGTATCTTAGGATAAAAGCAACTACAAAATCTGGAACATTCACAATCAGCTACTCTTCTTAAAAGCTGACTCTGCGAAAAGTTCTAAGTCGAAAATCAATTTTCCTGAGAATGATCGTGGCATTCATGTAGGCAAAAGAAAAAATTATTGAAAACAAAAAAAAAATTTCACTTGAATCGTCTCTTACGTTATTTTAAGATTTCTTTTGTTTATTAACTAATACAATCATTGATTGAAAACATTAAAGAACTTTATTCCGAACGAAAACATACTGGACATTTATATTTTAGTCAAAGATAAAGCAAATAAAGAAATGACAATAAAAAAAAAACAGAATGCATTTAAGAGTTGATCTTTTTTTTTTTCTATAGAATATTATTAATTACAAAATCAAATTGAAGTATAAATCGAAAACATTTTTCTTTTTAGTTATCATCCATTGCATTCACATTTGAACTATCACTATCTATATTTAATTCTTCCTGTTCTTCAAAAGGACGTTTATGGGATACGGATGATGACGATGATGATGCTGTTGAATGAAGACGTATATGTTTATTAAGATTTGATGGATCACTAAATGGTCGAAAACAAACTCGACATTGCAATGGTTTATATCCAGTATGTGTACGAAGATGAATTTTTAAACCATATTTACGATTATAAATCTAAAATGAAACAAGAAATTCAATCAATAAATAAATAAAATTATAAATATGAATTTACTTTGCCACAAAAAAGACATAAATGAGCTTTACGTTGTCTTCCATCATTATCCAATGAAGTAAATTCTAATGCATGTGTACCATCAAGTACACTCATTTTGCAAGATGATACATCATTTGATGAAAATGTTATTGGTTTTTGTGGTTCATCATGTTTTTCTATTATTTCCTCGTCTTTTTGTTTATCATTAATAATTGAATTTGGACGAGGAGATAATGAAGATTTTTTTGTTGATGAAACATCTACTGCATATTTTTTTGTTGGAGTTGTATGAACTAATAAGTGTTCATTAAGATTCATGCTAATTGATGATGTTGAATCACGACATTGATCAAGAAGAACATGTGCAACTAAGACATTTAAATAATTTTGTTCAATTTTACATCGAGGACATCGTGTAGCTATCAAAAAGCAAAATTCTTTTCTTAGTAAACGAAAAAAAAAAAGTTTTAATCTTACATTTAAGAAGTTCTTCAACTTTAAATATTTTTGCTAATTTAATTTTTTCACATATTGTACGTAATTGTGGAAGACTAAACCAAGCAAGGAGTGGTTCATCGGGAACAATTAAACGTGTCGTTCGAAAACCAAATACATTTGTTTCAGATGATTGAAATAATTCAATATTTTGCTCGTCTGGTGTACGAGCACTTTTTATTGCTAATATCCATTCTTGAAAAAGTCCTGGTCCAATTAAATGTTGATTCCAACAATGAATCTGTAAATATATACAATATTATTTGCTACTCTTGTAAATCTTTAACTACGGTTTGAATTAATATTGAACTTAGAATTATGCTTTGATGAGACTAGAGAAAGCTTAAAAGGGCTCATCCTTGTAGACCTTTGGAGTTGATTTCCGATCATTTTACTGAATTTTCAGCTCAACTTTAGGTACTTAATGCAAAACCTATACCATTCACATGGTCTGATTATAGAGACTTGAAACAAACGAAAACAAATTCGAGCTTTCAAGTTTAAATATTAAATGAAAACCGACACTTTCGAAATCCATATATTTCCATTTAATAAAAATCTTGACAACACAAAAATAAGACAATATAAAAGATTCTAAATTCAATAGTTTTATACGTACCGGAATTTTATTATAATGTTGATTATGATCATAAAAATCCGTTAAAAGAAAATTATATGGTAATTGATGAAGAAGATACACTACTGAACCTTCTTTTAATGTTGTAGCAGCAACAGCTAAAGGTTTTATTGTTGTTGGTGGTGGAAAACTCCCATTAACATTTGCATATTTAGCTATTGGTTTAATTATTTTAACATTCGACATTTGCTGTTTTAAATCAGCAGGAAAAAATATCGAATGAAATGATGATATATGGTATGACCAATTGTGTATAGGTATGTGACATGTATTGACAGGTGAAAGAACTGATTTTTTTTTCGTTTCATTCTTTCTCTCTCTGTCTCTTGAAATTATGTACCAATCATAGACGAGAGAAATCAAATAAAAGAAAGAACGAAGTTACCATTGGGGAAAAAGGTATTTCGATGGTGTCAATCATCAAGTATGTATGTCGAGATACTATTTGTTCAGTACAACATTACTAATAAAACAATGAATAGCAAATGACAAAAAAAAACGAAAAGAAAAGAGAAACGTATAGAAGTCATGAAACTGTTCTGCTTATGTCTTATGACACCACTTAACTTGTTACCATAGAAATTCATCTATTGACGAGTCAAATTTCATTCAAGTGGAAGAAATACCTTCAATAATCATCTGCCTTCTCTTACTTATTCTACTCTGTTGTTGTTTGATTGTTCCTGTCTAATGACCAAAGACAATTTAATTGGCATTGAATACATATATGTCGTTTATCGTTTTCACACCTCTCTAAACTCATAATTATTTTTTAAAAAGGAAGAATAAGACATAAAAATCTATCATTCGATTCAATACACTAAAATGATAAGCTGAAAATATGTTTAATACTAAAGAAAAAGACCGCAATAGAAAGACAGCCGATGTTTTTCTCATCATTGACTTAGATGCTAATTATTATAGACACGTGTTGCTTGCTGTTCCGATATATAGATTTTTTTTTTCTCTTCTATATTGACATCCAATCCAATGATGAGCATACTCTTGGGTCTTCTCTCTATTGTTCATTCGCCTCACTTGAACAGGCTTAGATGACAAACAAACAGCACGTGTGCATTCTTTCTCTTTACTTAATGTGTTCGATTAGCGCACTTTTTTCTTTTTTTTTTTTTTTTGAAATGTACAAAAAGTGTTTTTGTTGCCTCTCTATTACCACCGTATGTATGATGAGCGACTCTTTTTTTTCTATAAGTGGGGATCAACATGGACGATTGTTTTGATCTTGTACTCATCCTGCTACTATTTATTGATAGAAGAATAATGAAATTGACATAACAGATTAAAGTGAAGAATGTTTCCAACTGTTTTATTAGGTTTTAAATTTTCTAAGATCGTTGTAATCATCATTATTGGTAATATTGATTAAAAATCTTCTAATAGAGAATAGTTCGATTATTAGAAATGTTAAAAAAAAGTCAATATACTTGAATTCTGTATTGAATTCATAGAAGATTAGTTTTTATGGTCTATTGAACATTGAAAATATACGCTTATCAGATTGACTCGACATATTATTTAAATCGATAATGTCACATCTGGATATGTACCGTTAGTACTTATCAAGACATCAATTATCAATGTATCACTTGCAATCTTAGAATAATTAAGAAGTTAAAAAATAAATTTGCGAATTTATTCTCGTTTTTTTTTTAATTACAATTTGATTGTATGCAACATATATGCCTTATCAATATAAAAGAAAAACTAAAGTAAAATCTTCTTCTACAATAAATATTGAACTAATCATTTCAATATGACATCGAACAACTATTTTATATTTGATAAATAAGTTTTAAGAACAAAAGATAATATTTAAAATACATTGAAACATTTGTTTTTCCATCATTGAACTTAGCTAAGTGAAAATTTCCAAAGTCGAAGTCAGAAATAAATATTAACTTGAATTTAGATTTTCGATATTCACAGATCAAGAATAACGTCATAAATTTTTTTTTATATCGAAAATCCTATTATCAATCATATATTATCTTTTTCATGAATATCAATAGTTTAAACATACAGAGCGTATATAAAAAAAATATAGTCGTCGTAAAAAAAACAATAACATATACATAATTTTAAGAAATCAAAAACAAGTCTTTTTTTTATACAAATCGAATGGATAGAAAATAAAACAAAATCTTATAAATAACATAAACCAAGATGACATGCTTCGCACAATGTTGAATTATGTTGTGTATGCATATTTCCTTTTCGTTGAAATAAACGTCGAACTGGTTGAATACCATTATGTGTTATATCCCAATAAATAGATGATATTGAATTGGGAAAAAAATATTTGAAAATTGTTAATGCTAAGTTTTTCATTACTCGACAAATTTCATCTAATGAAACAAAGAAAAACGATTTGCAAAAAATAATATGTTTGTTTTTTGTGTTCAAAATTTACCGAAATACCACAATGGATGAACAATTGAATAACAATATTGACATTGTTGTGTATAGAGTCTTAATAAAACAATACCGCCTTCATTTGGTTTCGATATATAAAATGAACAACGTGCACGCATTGATGTCCAACAATGTCCACAAATATCACATTTAAATTGTGCTTTAGCATTTTCTAATTGCATCATAGAATAAGATGCATT